TTATAGCTTTTTTTGATTGCCCTTGAGCCACTTCTTTCTTGTTCTCTGTAGCACAAATAGCACCATTAAATAACAATGATCTCCCTTTGCCACTTTTATTTTCAGATCAGGTGAAAAATACTCCAGGCTCAAGAGTAAACTCTGATGCAGTTATAATACATGACCTGTGTTTTGGAAGGAGACACCCAGTTTCATAAAATGACCTGGCTACTAAGTGTATGTCTCAGAGAAAAGCTGGTGAGATAACCATTAGTTTTCACTGAACAATTTTCTCCCCTGTTCTTAATATTAACAAAATTACATTGAGGAAAACAGAGAAGGGAAAATCCTCATTTTTGAAGTAGATTTTTAATGTGAAATTGGGAAGTTTGGCATTGAATTCTTCAGTTCTATAACCACAACGCTGAAATCACACCTCTGTGCAAGTGAGTTTTGCACATGTGCATTCTGTCAGGGAGTCACAGCAGGTCCTGCATCAGTTTGCAGTTCTAAAACATCTCTAAATCCAGCAGCATTTACCAGTCTCACCTGTGTGTGTCTGGTGCTGAGCTGCTTGTTTGTTATGCTAATGCTTTTTTGGAAATGTCCTGCTTTACACTTTGATTTTCTGATCATTGGTTCCTTTTAATTACTCTGAAATTTATTTTAGAGTGAAGACAATCAGGAGTACAGGGTGCTGTGTCTGAGGGCTGGAAACAAGAGTACAGAAAGGAGCCTTTCACTTGAGAGCTGCTGGTTGGAATCCAGCTCAGGTTCAGGCTTAGCAAAAATCACCACTGTGTGATGGCTTCTGGGTGTCCTGCATTCTATGTCCACAAATGAGTCAGTGTCCACATCACACAAACCACAGAACAATTGGTGCTACTGTAATTGGTAGTCTAGTGGCAGCACCAGTGGAAAGGGCAGGGGCTTGAATGGGCATGGAAAATGAGCTGCTTTATTCCGTGCTCCCTCAGGTCACCTTTGAGACACATCTGTTTGAGGAAACTTAGAAGAAATTCGATCTCTGGTAGCTCCCTTCTGGAGATAGAAGAATTTACTTTGCAGTACTGACAATCTGACATCTACTAAAAAACTTCACATTCAAGAAAAATAAAGATCATTATGGGATCGTTTAACATGGGAAAGCCTGAACTAAAAAAAATAAAAAAGCAGCTACATGTGATTGAAAAATCAACAATAAAATCCAAATGCTGACTTGAAATAATAGGAATCTAGCCAAACTAATATTATCAAGCATGGCCACCACTGCCAAAAATTGCTTCCCTCAAAACCCCAGGGAAATCCTGCTCTTTTATTAAATCATTGAACAATCTCTTCCAGTTGAATCCCTTCTAGGGAAAAAATAAGGAGTGCTTCCTCTGTTCAGACATTCTCTTTGGAGGTGAGAACATGGATTGCTGGAAGAGATATTGGACTTTATTCAGCCTGAGTTGATGCCTTGATGTAATGGAAACAGGGGCTGCAAGGAGAGCTGTCAGCAACACAGGACACCATAAAGAGAAGTCTGGCACTGCAGTGTGCCTATGAGTCCATGGTGGAGCTTGTAAAGGACGTTTGGAGGTCACCTGCTCCAACCCCTGAACTTGGCGCTTCCACTGGGTCTGCTGTGAAGTAGGGAGCTCCTTTCTTAGATTTTATATGTATCATTAGTATGCCTAAAAAAAGCTGTCAGGAAACTAACCATGTGCCACCAGCACATGAATTCACCAGCAGTGAATTTAGCCCCGTAGTCCCTGCAAGATTCAAACAGCTCAGCTGTGAAGACGCCTCTTAATATGCTGCAATGACAGTCACCTATGCTGATTGCAGTGGTGAATGTGGCAGGAATTTTTGGGTAAGTGAAAGTAAAAAAATTGTGTTGATGTCAGATAAGTGTGTTAGCAAATCTGAAATGTTCAAAGATAGCTTGGACTACATGTGAATTCATGCCAAATGCAACCAAAACAGCAGATCTTCAAAAACACAACATTTTGACTTTTCATCTTCAAATGGTTAAAAAACTTTATTTAAATAACCTTAAATCATTTTAAGAGCACCTCAGACCTAGAAATTTAATTTATCAATATTTATTTTGGGGTGTGGGAGGGAGGGAATTCAATACAAAAATGTTTGTGTGTTTGAGTGTGTACGTGGAGGTGGGGGTGATGCTGTAACCTGCCACATCTCTGCTTTTGTATTTTTTGACTTCTCTTCAGTAGATGAGGCTAACAGATTTTGTAGTGTTGCTTGTACAAATGAGACAGGGTTTAGATGCCCACATTTGTTCCCTGTTGTTGTGGTAAAGCAGGATTTGAAACCAGGGGCTGTGAAGGTGAATGTCATGAGGGTGGTGGGAAATAAGCACATCCTTTCAGGCTAAATACGGAGAGGTATTGTGAAGCACCACAGAAGTGTGAGGGCAAGCTTCAAAGTTCCTGGGAGTCCAGGGATAACAGCATCCAGAGCACAGACTTCAGAGTTTCGGGAAAAAAAAAAAAAAAAAAAAAAAAAAAAAGACTTTTCCACTTTTTTTAAAAACCCCCATTTTTT